CATTCATAATATTAATACCTGTTGATTAGTAAGTGCATGCACAGTAAAATATAATTTACTTCCGTACGTCGTGGCAGGTTTCGTAAGGTTTTTGTCTCTCCTCTTCGTTTTGTTTATGGTATCGCATAAAGTGACATTTTCAAATGAAGTTGATGTAATTGTTAAAAAAATTATTCAAACTGTCTTTCGAAATTTTGTAGCAGTAACTTGTATCTAATGCAAAAGTAATGAATACGAAATTATGATTTATAACTTTTGTACCTCGTTTTATGGGAGTAAAATTTTGGTGCCTTTTTGTCATATCAGCGTGATTGGCATGGCAACAGCAACAGAATTTAGAGGTGGCTTTTTAGTGTAGGGATTTGGAGTTATGCTGTGCTCAAGAATTTTGGATACAATTCGGTACGCCATTTGAGTTCGAGTTTGCATCTTGCTGATCTCCGTCAGTGTAGTATTATTATGTTTATTATATCTTTTATTTATGTTTATAATATCGTCGTCGCATGTTGTATTATATTGTTTTTGTCATGAGATGTATTTATCATTTGTCTGTTTTTGCGTGTGTGGGTATATTAACTATTAATAATAGCGAAACGACACAGATGTTGGGAATTAAGTCTGTGCCGCTAAATGTTTCCAGCTGTTCATCGTGTTATCCAAATTTTTCGCCATGCTGTAATCCCACAGTGTAGACCATTAGATTCTGTCTTGATTGGTATACAAGGCGCAAATAGTTAATTTATTACGCATATTGATGCAGCTCATAGTTGATCATGTCTGTTTTCTCTTTCTGCTGTTAAAGTTGGAATTTCTGCTAGTTCTATTCAAACATATACACAGTTTTTTGAGAGAAGGTCCTTAGGTAAAATGGTTGTAAATGCAAAAAAGATTTAACATTCAGGCTGTTATAAAATGACGTTGCGCACAGGATTTTCTGCTTCGATTTTCTGACGCAAATTGAGTTTTAGAATTTGCTGCTTACAATTCGGATTTACTAAGTTAAACCTTTCAGCATCATCGGTACTTCTATTTAACCAATTCACTGCACCGATGATCAGTATCTTTCTACCTGGCAATGGTACCATTTTCGTAAAAAGTTTCCATTAACCCTCTCCGTCCTCAATCGCATAAGTTGCATTGGTTAGATCTTCGAGAGCAGCCTTTGCCTCTGTTGAACACAGCCGAGCTATATTGTCCTTTAATCCGTTGGCTTTGTTTGTACTGTTTATTTATGTTGCGATTTTAAATTAAATCGAAAAAGTTATATGCTAAAAAAATATTTTCGTCTTTCCTATTGATGAGACACGTGTTTCCAGGCCTGACGCAGTTTTCTTGTGCAGAAGTCGTTTAAAGCTGATTTGTGTTCAATTTTGGGTTTATATATATTGACCAAAGATCAGTTACCTTAAATATGTATGTATATGTGCTTAACTTCAGAATTGATATCTGGTCAATTACC